TATAACCTCCCTGTAGATGCTAATAATCACAAAGATAATATAATAGGAATAAGGTTGATTAGGGGCCGCTAACTTCTCTGAATATCTGGTTTTGAGTTGGATAGCTTCTCCCTGCATAAATAGCAGCTGGTGAGTTCTAAAGTGCAGTGGAGTGGAGAAGAATGCTGAGAAATTGCTTACCCTGTTGTTAAAAATAGTACCCCTATTTATAGTGGTGGTATAAGGACAGAATGATAATTTTGACCAAGTATGGAATGACGGTCCACGTCAACATCTGCTTTACATGTGTCGGATGACGAGTGGAGGATATGTCACCTTAGTATTTAATGTGAAGTGATCGGAGGCATTATGGTATCGACGTGGTCTGATGAGTCATAAAGACTATTGGGGGTAGAGGAATAATGACACCTGCCAAGCATTTAATATGACACCGACGTGTTGTCAGCGGGGGAGGTTCAAGGTTGAATTCGTCCTCTGGCTTGTAGCGAGGGGTGTCGAGAAGTAACACATCTTGAGTCGACCATGCAAGGTGTCAAATAACTGGTCAAGTGTGCTCGTAGCGAGTCGCCTTCGACAATAGAACCGACAAATACCACCTTTCGAGTTGATCTAAGAAGATGTCGACTCAGCGAGTCGGGTCAGTCGGGATTCTTGGTGGTCATGATCGTCAATTCGATTTGAGCGGTCCATGTAGGGGGACACATGTCCGTTGCTGGCAAATGGTCATACTTTGGCGATTAAAAACACCATAACACTCTCTCAAAGTGAAAGTTTTTCTTTGGATTCTTAACAAGAGGAAGCTTAATACTAAGGTGACCCTAAGGAAAAAAGATTTGATCGGTGACACTACTTGCTCATTTTGCAATGAAGTCCCTGAAAATGATGAACACCTATTCCATAATTGCTCCTATATCAAACTGGTCTGGGGCTTCTTCTTGCCATTCCTTTAGAGATCTTCTCTACCACATGAGTTTAGTTACATCGGAATCAAATGGCTTTTTTTGGTGGATAAAGAAGATAGAACCCCTTTGGTCTATTCTTTATTCATCTCTTTGTTGGTGCTAATGGACGACAATGAGCAATATAATTTTCAAAGAGACATGATGTCTCTCCCTGTATTTTGATATCTAATATCACTCATTTTATAATGTTATAGACATATAACTTGGCATCTAAGAGAGTTGTCACTATTCATAAACTAGTGGTGGAAAGGGGATTTGCCTAGTTGTTGCTGTAAGATGACTTTTCATCCCACGACATGGCTTGAGCGAATGCAACTTTGAGGAATCAAAATGTTGATCTAACTCTCTTTTGAGATTACTTATATACAAATACTGTCTAATCTCTTTTTGGTTTTGATGTAAGCAAGAGCTATGTGGTAGCTCTAAATAATGTATATTCTCCCTTGTATCCTTTTCTAGAACTGTTTAGTCTGAGTTTTCTACTCCAAGTTCCTCTTTCTTTGGTAACAGGTGATGGCTATAATCCTAGGCTTCCTATTCTTTGATATAGACTAATTGTTTTATTTGATACTCAAATTATTCACTTCTAGGGTAGGATATGTTTTTGGTAATTTAATAATATATATGAAGAGAGTAGCTCACCTTGTTTCTTTCTATCAAAAAAAAAAAAAAAAAAAAAAAAAAAAAAAAATAAAAAAAAAAAAAAAAAAAAAAAAAGAAAAAAACACCAGTCATCTTGACTTTCCAAGATTTGGAACATGAAGTATTGATGAATTTCCAATTTGTCTTAAACTTTTTAGGCTTCATTTATTTATTAGTCTAGAAAATATAATTATATTCAATATCCAAATTAACGTAATTATAATGGTTGTAACGTAGACTTCCTAAACTAAAATATGATTCTCAGTTGGTCTTCTGTTGGCGAAAAGCAGGCAATCAACTATTCATACTTGCAATGCATTTTCTGACTAAAAAGAAAGTTAGTTTTAAGAAAAGAAAACAATGAACATATGATTAATCCGGAAATACAATAGATTTTTTCGTAGATGCCACAGTAACTTTTCTATATATTGATTTTTTTGAAAAATAATTAAAATAAAACTAACTTTTTAGTTAATTAAGAAAAAATAAACTGGGCTTCGTTCTTCTGTGCGACCCATATTAAAAAACCTTTTTGGTTTGGTTCATTGCTCCAGAGGTTTGGGCTTTTAGAATTTGTCTTGTTTTAACATTAATGATGTGTTTGGATGGAGGGTGGAGAAGTGAAAGGGAAGAGAAATTTGAGTTTAATCTTGTCTGAGAGTTTTATTGGGAGGATAAAAAAGGGGAAGATGAGAAAAATTTAGGTTCCTACACTCCAAATGGGAGGAGAGGGGAGTGGGGGAGGGGGGCCCTTCCCTACCCTACCGTTCCTTCTCTTCTCTTAGTGAGCTCCCAAACAAGCTATAAGGTTATCGACTTTTAACCGAGGAAAGAAAAAATTGAAATAAAATAATTTGAACAACTACTCCTCCCTAACTCCACTAGGGAGCGTTACGCCAATCTGACCACCATAAACACAATTGCTAATAACAGTGGACATCTTTCAAAATTTGCATAGGAAGCTCTGAACGCGCTATGATATTTGTGCAAATGCCTCCGCACGCACGAACATAGAGGTGGCACTAGAGGCACACCTTGTGCCACACCTTGGAGTACACCCCTCTCTCAGCTACAGTGCATGAGGTCCACTTGAGATTTATTTAAAATCTCAAGTGGGCCCCCCTGCACTGTAGCTGAGAGAGGGAGGTGTGCTCCAAGGTGTGGCACAAGGTGTGCCTCTAGTGTTTTCCCGAACATAGCCCCTCTCTCTCTCTGGGTACGGACAAGTTCGCACTCCCAATCACTCTTCACAAGCCGCCTACAGTCTTTTATCAATAACTCCCAAAGGACGGCAGTCGCTATCACCGCACAATATTTATATTGCATAATACTAGGAGAGCCCATTTCACAAAAGACAAGTTCGCTCCTCACCACGCTTGCAGCGGCCTACGTTATAAGGTGAAGCCAACAATCCAAGAGCGACAAGACTCTCACAATTCCTCTAGGTACCGTTTGACAAATGGTTAAGGGAGGGGTTAAGAAGACTTAACCCCTTCTTAACCCGTAAAAAAAATCTATATAAGGGTTAAAATGAGTTAACTCTTCATAATTTGCCAAACACAAAAAATATAGAAAAGCTAAGCTAACCCATCTAGAGGAATTAAAATAAGTTAACCCTTCAAAAGAAGGGGTTTACTAATAATCGTATTTAGAAGGATTAAGAGTTAACCCTTCAAATTATAAAGAAAACAGTCAAAATCCTTGTTATTCCTAAACACTGAAAATGATCACAAGGACTGAAAAAAACTTATATAATGAGTTAATAATTTAGCATTTTCGATTATCAAGTATGTTAACTATGTTAATCATTCTTCTTAATCTCTCTTCCTTCGCCTCTTGCCAAACGGAGCCCAAGGCTCTAGCACTGACCTTTCTTGTAGTTTAGCAGCACTGTCAGTATTAACTTCAAACCAATCCGAAATGTGGTCTATTCCATCCAACTAATATGTCAAGCTTCTTGCTTGCCGCTCCACCAACAGCTCCAAAAGCATAACGTACTCATTTTATTCATAGCTATCAAGGAATAATACTCGAAAAATGTTTTGCCCATCCTAAATATTCTCCAAATCTATAAAAACCATAAAATTGTAACAAAGAGAAGGTCCCAAAATAATACTCACTACCTGACGATGACTCGTCATGCTTTTCAATTGGTCAATAACTAGTCATGAGAGCTGCGGTCATAAAAATGGACCATATCCCAGCGAGAGTGTCAAAGTGATTCCACATTTCTCTAGCCTTGGCGCACTTTCTAAGCGCCTATCTGTATCTAAGGGCATTAGCAAAAATCAAATCGAATCGAGTATTAAGATGTTTATATTTGTAATTGTTTAAAATTTTTGAATTTGACATGGAATTGGAAGTCCAGTTTTGAGATTTCTAATTTGAAGACTTAGTATTTGATAAATATTCACGAATGTCCACGGATATCATCAAATATTAGAGTATATTTATTTTAATAAAGAATTTGTTTTTCATATAGTATTTAAGTTAGTGATGGCAAATTATTTCTATATATTATTTAAGTTCTATTCAATCAGAATATTTTTTGGGGTCATTTTGATAGTAGTCCCTTAAATCATCTATCCTTTCGTATTAGTCCTCAACTCTTAATAATTGCTCATTAGCCCCTCACATCCTAAGGGTTCTTGCAATATGGTCCCTCAAATCCTAAGGGTTCTTGCAATCTGGTCCATCAATGACTAGAATACCCCCAATTAATGATTTTTTGAGGGCTATTTGCAATTTGGCTTGTAAAGTTTACACATTCTTCAACTTCAATGCCCCAAAGTTTTTTTTAACACTTTGATACTCTAAAGCTTACACCTTTTGCAACTTTTATAACCAAAGTTTTTCCGTGACACTTTGATACCCTAAAATGTACACATATTTTGAATTTATATCCCAAAATTTCCATAATTTTAACTATGATACCTCAAAGTCTTCATATTTTATGTTTTGCTTCCTCAACCTAAGTTGTCAAAGCGTCATAGATAAAAACTGAAGTATTAAAATTAAGTAAGTATAAACTTTCTCATAGCAAAGCGTCAAAGAAAATTTTAACGTACCAAAGTTTAAACGGTTTAAACTTCAGGGTATCTAAGTGTCAAAATTAACTTTGGGTTCTTAAAGTTAAAAACATGTGTAAGGTAGCAAAGTGTAAATGACCTTTATCTAAACAATATTTGTTTAGGGTGGGAATACATAAATGAGGGGTATTTTAGTTATTGAGTGACCAAATTGCAAGAACCCTTAAGATTTTATGGATTATATAGTGAGCAATTACGGATATGTAAGGGTTATTGTGGAAACATGGATGATGTAAGGGACTAGTATCTAAATAACTCTAAAAATTATTTATTTAGTGCTGCTAATGGATTAAACGAACAGCGTGTACAAAAATTAATGCACAACTTGTTAGTTATCGGGTTCAATCCCGAAGCCCGAATTCTCGAAAGGTAATGGCGAGCGGGTCGGTGGAGAAGACAGCGGAGGAGCTCCGAAAAGAGATCGACGAGCTCAATCGACAACGATGGGAGGTCTCTCTTCTCCTTCCCTAAACCCTGGTTTCCTTACTAATTTCAACCCAAACCCTAATCTCTCTTTTTCTCGCAGATCACCAAGCGTCTGCGAGATCCTCGCGGCCTCCGCCGCCCCGCCCCCTCCGTGGGCCCCACTGGGCCTCGGAAGCGCGGCGCTGTTGTTGGACCCGTAAGATGAGCGTGACGCGCTCTGGAATATTTTTGGTATTTTGATGATTTTTGTTGAATTTTGTTGTGCTTTTTAATGATTCAGGCGGTGGAGGACCAGCCGGCGCCAAAACGGCGTTTGTCTTCCGCTGTTGTTAAAGTAATCACTGAAACCATAAATTTTCCCCCATGGATTTTTTTTTAAATTTTTTATGAGTTTTGTTTAGTTTTAGCAGTAAAGTAGGAGCAAATAAAAATGAAAGAGGCTTTCATGGATAAGTGGATCATGCATGTTACTGAAGTTTGAATCTCATATTGCATGTATTCAAACTATATGACTTGAATACAAACAGGCTGGAGTGTTACTATTAAGATAAGCCATAACGGCACGAACTTGAGAACAGGAAGTAAAATTGTGAATTTTTAGGAAAGAAAGGAGTATGGTAGAGTTTGGTTGTATCCTGTGATGTGAACTAATGCATTTAGTAAATAAATGTTCATCTCTAATTTTTATAAAAAAATGTCAAAAATTACACGGCTTACTTGTGGGCTTATCACAGTACCACTATTAGTAAGGTGGATGTATATGTACACCATTCTAAACGAAATGTGGTGTATATATGTTAAAATATGGTAAGATTTCGCAGCTTGTTAGTGAGGAGAAAAAGATTCCTGTTATATTCTTTCTCCAAGCTGCTAGAGTGACATTAAAGGATTGGTCATGTTTTTCTAACACACTTAATGCTTTCCTTTTCTTTCAATTATTTTCTGTGCATAACCAGGCACATTCACTAAGAAATCCCAACCAAAAAATCTTTGTATGTTCTTTCTCCAAGTAGCTAGAGGAAGATGAAAAGATTGTTTTCATTCGGCCACTTGCTGCTTTCTTTTCCTTCCTATTAGTTTTTTTTACACATCTGAATTATGATGTTACTCTACTCATTAGAAGCTATGATTTCCCGAAAGTTCTGACTTAGACTGTTTGATGAAACCTTATTTGAAGTTGGAGGATGGAGAAATTAAAGAAGATGCTAGTGGACCAAAAGATTCTAAGGAAGAACATATATCGGAGGTTGCGGCTGTTCCAACTGGAGAGAATGGTAAACCTAGGCCAAACCCTCAAATCAATAGTGGGTCAAGAAGGGATGGGAATCCATGGATGAGGAAGATGGTACTATCTAGAACTGAACCTTTCCCCCCTTTTTGTTATTCAGTATATATTGCCCTTAGCGATGAATAATGGTCATGCTTAGCGATGAATAATGGTCATGCTTAGCGATGAATAATGGTCATGCTCCTTTCAGGACTATGATGTTATACCGACAGAGCCAATTCCTAGGATTTTGCCAAAGAATGAGGACCCGAGATTGGTTAAGCGCAACAGAAGAATGCTCGGACAGCTCCTGGGGACATTAGAGGTAATACTCAGTTCATATTTTAATAATATTTGTCATGACAATTCTTTATTCACTTGTGTTAAAATTACTACGAAGTTAATATAACTAGAGATGACTGAAATTATTTTGAGGTGTATAGAATCAAAGTCTAAATATACAATAAGAACATCAATGGCACCTTTTCTTCTCAAGAGTGCTTTCACTCTACCCCAAAATCTAAATTTGGCTAAATCGAGTAGTTCAGACGTTTCTCATGATATATTATGTTAACTTGCTGCCTGGAGTTTTATATAAAATATAGTTCATTTGACACCACATATTTATGGGAGCTTTTTCCAAGAGTACAAGGAAAAATTGTATTTTGAGTTTTTAATAGTTTGCTTGGCTTTGTGATGGTGACCATTTGCCATGCTTAATGAGTGGACACTGACATTCATTACTGTGAATAATGTGTTTCTTCTAACTAGATACTGATATGCATTGACATTACACACCTTCCTAACTTGAATTCAAGCTGGCAAGATTTCAATGTTTGTCTCTTACAACTTGCTATCACGCTAATTCCTACCCACCATGTCGTTAGGTGATTGGGGAAATTGTGGGGCTAAAGGATTTTTTTTTTAATAACTCAAGATGCCTTGTAAGTAGAGAGAACCAGCTGCCAAAAAATTAAGCTAATAAAGGGGCAACATGAATTTCCCTAGACGAGTAAGGAGGTTTCATCAACAAATGAAAATTTCACATGGTTTGTGTACAGGAAATTGTATTTCTAGCCAAAGCGCGAGATATGCCAAGAAGAATTTTTTATTTTTTATGCAAGACGTCAGATTCATTAAGCAAAGGGGTATGCAGTATGAAGTTGATAAAAGAAGTCCATTTGTTGACCTAGATTGACACTCAAAACTGTGGGATAATCAGTACTCATATCCAAGGTTTTAAATATCGGATGTCGGGTTCATGTCGGACGGCTGAAATCCATGTCGGATAGCGGAAATCGGGGATATATCGGGGGACATGGACTAAATATCGGATTGCCATATCGGGTGATCCACATATGTATAATATCATGCCCTAAATGTAATCTAACTATCTAAGCATTCCTAAATTCATAACTTCATGACTCTGCACATTTCAACATTCATATGCACATTTAAAATAAAATAAATCTCTCCTTATTAATCAATAATCATTAGCCTATTATTAATCAGTTAGCCTATTATTAATCAAGTGATCAAACATCAAGTAATCATTAGCCTATTATTAATCAAAATAGTCCACAAACCAAACATTCACGTGTGAAGAAGAAAAAAAGAAAAAACAGGAAAATCGGCCGATATGGCCGATTTTCCAAACAAGAAAATCGGCCGATATGGCCGATTTTTCGCCGATATGGCCGATATGTCGGTAAAAAACGATATGCGACTTGTTTTTCCCCGATTTGTGTCGTTGGACCCCTCAATCCGCTATATCGGCCGACATGTCCGACATGTCGGCCGATATTTAAAACACTGCTCATATCACTTAGATTCACTTCAGACAACTTTTGGATATAAAAGGAAAATTCATGACCCCTTTACATGGGTATACCTTTTTGCATCAATTCACCATCAGACGAGTGTACCTCAAACTGTCACTTCACAAGCCAATTGTATTCCAGGAGGGCAGCATGGGCATTTACTTTTATGGGGAAGCAGTTAGAATGTTCTTATCTGGTCTAGCTTCCATGCAATTTTTAAGCATCACAAGTGCTGAAAGAAAAAAAGCAGTAGGTCAGCCTACCATTTTGCCCAATAATTTAAGAGTAGTATGTGACCAAGGAGTAATGTTTCACTCATATTTTAAGAAATATCTAGTCAAAGAGGCAAGATGATGAGATCGCTACTAGGAATTCTATTCCTTTGAGAGGTGGAAAGTGGAAACATATAAGTGAAGTAGTTGAAGAAATTATATTCCCATAGGTTTTAAATGTGAATTACCTTTGTACGTCTTTCTTATGTAAATGATATATTCAAAACCACTTTTTGCTCATTTTTTTCTGGATATACATAAACTAAACCTTAGAGTTTAATCTGGTTATTTCTTTCAGAAATTCCAAGAAGAAGACAAGCAACGGTCAACAACTGAAGCTTATATGCGTAGGTCAGATTCATTACGACGGGTGAGTAATTTGCAGTTCTTAAACTGTTGAAGTACTTGTTGATCTTTTTGTTCTATCCATGCTGTTACTTATTTGGATTAATTTTGGGCAGAAAGTTACTTAATGGGCACTATGTCGTGTAGTTACCAATGAATTCTCTAGAGAAATTGATAAATTTTCTTTGTTTCAAGGGAGAAATATAGTGAATACAAACATCTAGTGGTATAACGCTAGAGGCAACGAAGGTCTTTCTGTTTGTGGGACTGTGGTGCCCTCCTTTTTTTGCAATTGTTCTGAAAAAGAAAAAAACAGAAAAGAAAGGGTTTGTTTGGAGTTCCCAAAGTGGGCAAACTAATCCTTTCGGGACTCTCCAACTTCCGTATTTGAAGCAATAGAAAAAAATGTTATGCCTGCATCTGTGCATCCCTTGGGTGTCGCAGGAAGATCAAATGACAAACTGGAAATAAAAGGTTTTTTGTTTTCATTTTTCAAACTGAATGTACAAGTAGGGAACCTGTCAGAAGACTCAGAACTAGTAATGCAAACCCATTACCAAAAAGGATTTGAGACAAAAGAAATTCTGACCGTAAGAGCTAATCATGTTGCAAATTAATAAGGGTAATCAGACAAGCATGTCTATGTGTAAGCACTGTTGCAGCAAAGCTGATTTTTACATAAAGCAAATATTTTTGGATTGGATACAACCTGCAAATATGATATCCGCGCAAAGCTGATTTTTACATAAAGCCAATATTTTTGGATTGGATACAACCTGCAAATATGATATCCACACAACAGTGCGGTCGGCATACAATTCACTTGTACATGGTAAGACTTTCATGTTGGATGTTTATCATTTCCAATCTCTCACTGGGCAACAGTTCAGAACCCTATGAGAACTGATGGTTGAATAATCCCGATATGCCTTGTTCCTTAGATATAAACACTGTGATTATATAATTGCATGGAGGGATTCCCATGCTCATTTGCAATTGCATCTATGACCAACTACTTTGAAAACGCTAACCCACTTGGTTTTTTGCATCTCTCTGTGTGCGCGCTCTCACATTGGTGGACTCATGGTTGTTATTTTCAACGAATTAAGTGCACATAAGAATATGCATGGCTTGCGCGGCCCATTCCTGACCTTTCTACAGTGTATTTTCATAAGTAGGAATTGATGGATTCAGATCTACTATTTTCAACGAGTTAACTGCATGCACCAACACAGCTGCTAAATAATACTTCAGATGTTGGATATTCATCAAAAACTTATTTTGATAATGTCGAGTGCTCTAGGATTAGTTTTATTTATTTTATGGTATTTACAGAAACATCGCTAAGACTATTTGGGGATATTGCGACATAATAGCTGTAAATAGCGCAAAGTCAGATAGCAGTCAAATTTAGATATATTTAAATATTCTAGAAAATAAGAAAAATTACATAAAGATCTAAAAGTTCTACAAATGCATATTTAATGACTAGGTTTTATACACGTGCAACGTACGTGGTAAAATACCATGATTAAGTATTTCTAATTTATTTCCTTACTAAAATTTGTTTTCCATTCCACTTTGATAATTTTCGCACACTTAAATCTCTAAACTTTAGCATGTGATTAATTTTTTTTATGTTCGTTTGATTGAGCTACGTCTAAGTTAAATTTTTATATTTATAATTGAATTGACAGGAAACAAATATAATCTGAAGCCAATTTAAATTATCATGTTATTTGGACCGACATGAAACCAAGCTTGACCTGAGAGATTATAGTATTGCAAAAATGAAAAATACTTAATAGCGTCATAAAAGGAAGATGCATAATTAAAGCAAATATCACATGATAATTAATTAAAAGTGGGCCAAAACAACACAAAAGAGAATATGAAGTTTTTTCTTAATCCTTGATAGACTTTTAAAAAATCATAAACTAAAAATTAATGTTAAATCTAGTACACTTTTATATGATGAAAGCATCTACATAAGCATACAAAAATGTAAAAAAAAGTTCATGTAAATCCCTTCTAAAGATTTCTTATTTACTCAAAAAAATAATAGACTATTTTATAAAATATTTAAAAAATAATATCTTTCATTCCTTCTGTTTTATTTTTTATTGAGCCGCATCAATCCTTATCTACATTTATCTTTTTGATAAAATTAGACTTCTTTTAAATGCTAAAAAAGGATAATAAACCTTATATTGAAGTTAAATTTATATTTCTTGATGAAAGAATATCAAATAACTACTCTTTTCTTTGCTCAGTTTTGAAATTTTAATCGTTTTTTGTGATTTTGAATTTTGAGGTTGTGTTGTGCAAATTTTAAAACCTTGAGAGTATTTTTTGAAAATTTTAAATTTTAAGTGAGTACTTGTAATTTTTATGTTTTATATGTTGGTGGTAACTTTTTAAATGTTAGGATATTTTTTGCAACTCGAAAATTTCGACGGTGTTTTTTGGTAACTACTGAAACTTTAGATTGTTTTTTGTAAAATTTAAATTTTTAGCAGTCTGTTGATAACTTCCAGACTTGATATGTACTGTTTATAAGTGTTGAAATTTTAAGTTATTTTGTGATTTTTAATTTGTGAAGGAGTTTTTTATAATTTTTATTACTTTGATGTAATTTTTTCCAAATTTTAAATTTTCATGTGCCAGATGGTAATCTTCTAAATTCAACTTTATTGTTTGTAAGTTTTGAAATTTTAGAATTTCAATGTGTTTTTTTTATTATTTGAACTTTTGAGGGTGTTTCTAATTTTTTTGAAATGTTAAGGGTGTTAATTGTAAATTTTAAATTCTTTAGAGGCTGCTGTTAATTTCTAGATTTCATGTTTGTTGTTTAAAGTTTTGATTTTGAAACAATGTTTTGTGCAATTTTAAACTTTTGAGGATATTTTGTGTAATTTGTAAAACTTTTTGTTTTTTTTTAATAATACTTCATATATTATAGCATGTTAGTTTTTTATCTTAACAAACTAATACTGTGGATATGTTTCATGTATTTTATTAATCTTGTTTTTTTTAAATGGTTGAGCTATAGGTAATTAACGTGGGATTAGGGTAGGATATAATTATGATTAAAATACATTATGATTTAAATGAAATATTTAAAATAGTAAAGGGCAATGTTGACCATAGAAAGATTTTCTCGAAGTCGTACTTTTAAAGGGAGTATGATTTATAGAAATCCTAAACATGAAATAGATGTGTAACAATTGCATAATATTACTAAAGTACTATAAAGAATAGAAAAACATACATGTTTATCAAAAAGACCATTATTTGTCCCATTCCTTCAACTTTTAAGTATCTGATACAAAAAATCTCTCTGTTGTGTTGTTGTTGTTGGAAATGGAGGCGGTTGTGTTGTTGCTGCTAGAAATGGAGGCGGCCAGAGGTGTTGCTGCTGCTGGAGAATGCGGCGAGGGAGGTGGTCATCGGAGGAGTTGCTGCTGGAGATGGGGTTTTGTGTCCAGAGTCTGCACTTGGGAGTCAGATGGGGGAGAGAGGAAATGGGTTTTTAGTTACGGGTTTGGGTCGGGTTCGGGTAGATGGATTAACAAATAAAATAGCGCTATTTTAGCACTAAACAGTGCTATTTCGTGCTATTAAGCGCTATTACGAGTGAAACACAGATTTACCCGTGATTACACCCCACAATCAGTGTTCTGCGGAGAGGTTGACCCTCGCAACCGCGAAAAGTGCCGCTATTTCCCACTTTTTACAGCACTGGGTATTTATGAGTTGGATCATGGAGTTCATGGGCATTCTTAAAATTAGAATTTAGAAGTTGTCACCTCCTCCTCCTTAGACTCCACTCAGATTAATATCTAGTAGTGGGTAGAAGCATATGAAAGCAAAACCAATGGTGGACAAGGCATTGTATCCACTGCCTGGAGTACATAGTGTAGGGTGTATCCAAAAGTCGGAACAAGTTTATTGAGTAAGCTAGCAAGCGCTGAAACGACTAGTTGCTTGTTTGAACGGCATACTGTGGAATTTTAGATCTGGTTGCATGATTTTTTTTCGTGACGAACTTGCAGAGAGTCTTCCTTCATCTTTGTTTTTTGCCTGTGAGCTTTCTTCATTGTATATGAACCTAAAATTTCTTTTACAACTTTGTTCTTTTTACTAAACAAAGCTTTATCTGTATAGGCTGAAGAAAAAGCTCGTGAAGAAAGTGAGAGGCTAAGGCAACAGGAGAGGGAACAAATTGCTGAGAAGCGCAGGCGTGATTTGGTGATACCTTTTTCTCCGTTAACTTTGTCATTCATTTATTGCATACCATCCATTTAATTGTGAAAATTTGTTCTTAGACACTACAAGCTCGTGTTGCTGCTAAGGCAGAGCAAAAGAAGATGGAGCTGCTGTTTATTCTTTGGTCTGAGCATCATAAAAATCTGACCAATTTCTTAAGGTATGCAAACATAGAGAGGTTAGGATTGTCTTGCTCTTTGTTTTCTAATGCTGTGATTGTTTTGGTAGGACTATTGGTTTTATTTTTATCATCCTGTTTAGGTTTCACCTTGTTTCTAATATTGAATCTCCTGGTAGAAACTTTATCATTCTTAATCATTCAATAATTTTTTGCCTTCTTTTGTTCTTTTTTTTTAATTTCTGAATCTAGTTTCTTAATGTTTCTTTCCCCCAACTTATATTAATGCGTCGATTGCTTTGTGTTGCTGCAGGTTATTTTTATTTTTGGCCCAATGTGTCCATATAGACAAATTTAGTTGAGACAGTTAAGTTTCTTTATGCATAGTGTTGACTTCCAAATGTGACTGGAGCTTCCCTACTGCATGCTTTTTGCACTTTTTGTCAAATTAACTTTTGATATCGACCAAGTTTAATTTATTTTGCCTGTCTATTTAGGACAAAAACAGAACCTCCAATATATTACATGCCAGCTAAGCCATTAGTTGAGGATGCAGCTATTGTGGAGCAGAGTACAGAGCAGGTGAAGTGTTATTATTACTGGACATGCTACAGTAGATGCAGTTCATTTTGGAGACAATTATAAATACACTGATTCTTCAATTGTCTGAAAAGAAGCAAACTTATTCTCATATTAAAGTTTCATCCACTATTAAATAAGTAAACAATATGACCAATTAGGACAATTAAATGTTTTCATTATTGGTAGCTCTGAAGATTTGGTTATCATGGAAGTGGTTGCGTGCCTACCAAGGGGCAGGATTTCTCTTATTTCTTTTTGGGTTTTTCGTTCACTCCCCTAACAGTCTACAAGTCTATAGTAAAGCCTATCTTGTCCATTATTTTCTTCTTGGCCAGAATTTTGGCAACAGAAGCATGATAGCATGCTGAAAATTTCATCACATCTTCAGTGAAGTCTTTGCAAATAGGCCACATAATATGTGATGGAATTTTCAGCATGATATCAACCAAATATGGACTCCTATGGTTTTGCTGCCAAATATCTGGTGAAAGATGTAACGAATGAGATAGGTTTGACAGAGGAATAGTAGGTCACTTGGCAAGGAAAAAGAAGAGAAAACTTGTCGTATCGGTTATATAGTTTTAAGCCCATTCACCAATTAATTACATTTCAGAATTGTTCGATTAAGGCATATGACATAATCTGAAAGCCAGAACGAAATACGATGACCACCTAAAGCTTCAGCATAACTTGTAAACCTTTTTATGGTTCCATACACCAAAACCATAGGCTATTTAGTGGTTAAGAAGTAATTTACATTTGTATTTCAGGTATTTCTGGAATGGAAGACTGCAAGAAGAGCAGAACTATCCGAATACCAGAAACAAATTGAGGAGGACTATATCTCAAACGTCGATAAAGAGCTTGATCGATGGCAGGATGCAAGGAACACACGGAGATCAAACATTCAGGTTAACCTGCAAGAGACAATGGATAAGGAGCTGGAGACCCACAGGCTTGAGCATGGTCCCAAGCCTCGGAGAATCACAGGAAATAATGAAGAAGAGGATGTGGAAGATATTGCTGCTGAAGATGAACTCATGGACGAGGTCCTTGGAGCCCCTGAGAGGGTTTATGGCGATGCTTCTAAATTGCCTGAGGCTGGCAATGGCAGTTCGAACCCTGTGGAGATGCAGTTGGAAGGATGTAATAGGGCTATTTAGTGGTTTAAGTTAATTGAGGACTCTCTGTGTTTGTATTTGTATGTGGTACAATTTTGATGTTATTTGTTTCACAATATTTTGCGAGCATAAAAAACCAGGCGGTTTTGGGATCTATTGTGCAATGCGAGGGCGACAAATTTGTCAAAGTGCATGCGAACACAGCTCAAACATTAGATTTTGTATTAGCAGTAGATCAGGTGTTTAAAGTTAGTATTGTCTTATTCAGTGCAGCAACTTTTTTTTTTGTTTTTGTTGTTTTTTTTTGTATTTTTTTGTTTTTTTTTTTGGGGGCGGGGGGTTCTATCCAAATTCAAAGTATTAATTATCTATTTCGAAGTATCCTATTTTGCATCGTATTTATTTTCATTTAAGCAAATGTTTGGTATTAGTATCCCGCAAATTTAGACATCTAGATATTATGTATATTTTCAGCTTAAACATTGGAGTTAATATTTGCTGCATTTTAACTCTTATGCTGCTTTTTCTCCAACAAGTTGTTACTCTTATAGGGACTGTTTGGTTCGCATTTATTCCCCGTGGAAAACCTTTTAAACCCCTCCACGTCGGGTTTTTTCCCTTCCACCTCAGATTTTTTATTTCTGCACTTTTTCTTTCCTAGCTTTGTTTCACTAGGGCTGAAGAGGGAAACGAAGCGGAAAATCGCCGCCACCTAGGTTTTTTTTCTTCGGCCCCGATTCCTTCCCTATCCGAGTGAAATCGACGAAAACCTGGCCACGTCGGATTTTTGGCTTCGTCGTTGATTTCTTTGTTGAGCTAATAGTTACCTCTCTCCTCCCGTCATAAACTTCAGCTCTCTTCTTTGCCCCTGCGAAGAAATTAGGGGAGGGAGTTTTGATCTTGTGCCACAGATTTCTCAGATCTGATCTTTGTCGACGCTGTTGCTACCAAAATCAAGGTGAAAATTGAATTTTTTTAATTTTTGGATTATTAGTTTAATTTAGATCAATTTTCTGAGAAATTGGTGGAGGGCTATCTGATAATTGTCAACCCTATTCAGATCTGAGATTTGTGTTCAGTTAATTTTTTAAGATTTTAGACCAAAAAAATGTTTTAGCAGATCTGAACATGTTTGAGAAAAAGTAGTTTATGCAAATTTTTAGATCTGCTAATTTTTTTTTTGTACCCGGAGTAAAATTTAGGATTTTGAGAAAAATTAGTTTATGCTTGTTCTTAAAAAAGTTGGTTTTGTGTGAAAAATGTTTTAGCAGATCTGAACATGTTTGAGAAAATTTAGTTTATGCCAATTTTGAGATCTGCTAAAACATTGTTTTCACCCAGAGTAAAATTTAGGATTTTGAGAAAAATTAGTTTATGGTTATCGGTTTTTTCACACAAAATTGGAGGGGTTAAAAATTAGTTTATTTTCACGTTGGTTTTGTGTGAAATGTTTGTAGTTCTTATTTAATTTTTTTTTGTGAAATTCACCTTTTGTGACTAATAAATATTGTAAATTTATTGCTTGTTGATTGAAGCATTACTTTGAAAGAAGTTATGATTGATGTTTTTTTTAAATATGAGTAATTGTTTGCTTTGATTATTTAAACTGAAATTTCTTATAAACTTGTATTTTTAGAATTAGTTTTGTCCCAACAATGGTTACAAGTTTAACGTTTGTTAATTTAGAATTAGTTTTTAAAATTAGTTTATGCTAATTCCCAATATGAGTTTTGGACTAAATTATAATGTTTCTTTAAACATAACTATTGTACATGCGGATAGTTCTAACTTCTTATAAAAGTTCTAACTAGATAATGATTTTTTGCATCGTAGATGGATAATGATGGTGATTGTTCTGATGAACAAAGTATTGTTAATATAGTACAAGGTGCTGCCCTATCTGTTTTAATTATAATAATTACTGTCATAAAGCGAATTTATAATGGTTTTAGTGATAGTTGCGTAAATTATATTAGAATGCGGAGTGGTGCTTTTGTTAAACTAGCGAGTGTAATGAGGAACAATAGCCTGCTAAAATTACTGTATATTTTGTGCTCGGTTTTTTTTGCACATGTTGCCTTTAAATATTGTTTGGCTATTGGTGTTGTTGGCTGGTTGTGAGCCTGCTTGTTTCTTGATGTTGTTGGCTTGTTGGTACTTGATGTTATTGTTGGCCGGTGGTGTTGCTTCCTGGTTGGTACTTGATGTTGTTGTTGGCTGGTGGTGTTGTTGCCTGGTGGGTACTTGATGTTGTTGTTGGTTGGTGGTGGTGTTGGCTGGTTCGTGAGATTTGTGTGCAGACACTTATTCTGGGTTGTTTGTGTTCAGGCACATATATCTGCATTCACAATCATGTTTGTTCTGTTATGTCCTTACTATTTGTGTACCTTTTAACAACGCATGTGATTTTCAGGCATAATCTTGTTATGTTATGAGTCAGGTTGTGTTCGACTGGATTTGATTATTTTGATATTGTTTACGGGTGTTCAAATTAGACTATGATGCTTTTTAATTTTTCTGAGATTAGCAACCTGCAATATCTATTGATATTGCACTGGATGGCTAACAATGATAATATTAAACAAGTTCTGAGCCCACAACCATAATTCGCATATACATATGGCTGATTTATTTGACATGATGTTGGCTTTGTCTGTCATCTTATTGCTGGTCTACCCTGCAGCAGCTGTAGGCTTTATCCTCCACGGTGATTGTCTTGTAGGTAATTTTTTTTCTATATATTACATTTTACTTCAATCATATGTTAATTTAAATTCTTGTTTCACGTTTATTTCTTTTACTTCAATCATATGGTAATTAGCATTATTGTTTCATGTTTATTTCATTTTTTGGTTCTGTCATGCTTTGCTCAAAAATTTTATTCATTTGAAACAATGCTTTTAGGCTCCAATATAGCCACTTGGTATGGAGAAAAAATTGAAAATTCATACTTCTAAACTACCAACAAATTAGACAAATTAGACGTCTTTATGATCCTAGTTCTCTTTCATAATATTATTGATCTCTATGTTATCATCTATTTTATGCGTCAGGTGCTCCAAGAGAGAGGGGAGATCACATCACACCATGGTCGTGCTACCTGGTCAAGTGGTGAAGATCATGTCAAACCTCAAATTGCATGAAGGTCTAGAGATACCTTTAAGGATACCACTTGCAAAAGTTATATCGGTCTTGTATAGGTGCTCATAGCTAATTTAGAAACTTTGTATGCAGATAAAATCTCGTATAAATGATTGTAACAGTTCATAATATTACAAGTTTTCATAGGCTTTAGGTTGTTATGTACATATTTATGGCTATTTGCTATGTTATATACATATTTATGGCTATTCAGGTTGTTTATATGTTTTTATAGGTTTCAGCAGATTTTTTGGATAATTCATGCAACTTAACTACATAAATTTATGAATAATCAGGTTAGTACAGATTTCGTGTGATTTTTTCAATCTGAAACATGTATATTTCAAGTCAAATCAAGTACGTAATTCATAGCAAGTGATTCATATTATTTTAGGTTTCGTATGATTTCATTAATACAAACAGAAGTTTATAATTCATTTGGGATATTATTATTTGTTCATGTTACATTCGAACTTTAATATGATTAAGATTACATCATATAACGAGCACAAATAAATTTGTATGTAGTGGGGGTAATCGTACCATGGTAACCATAAACACTTTTCACTACAAACTTCAAAACTAACCAAACACAAGAAAAGTAGGAAATGTCATATCAACAAAAATTTTCATTTTTTTCCATGCGAACCAAACACGAAAAAAAATAAATACATTGGATTCCCACCATTTTTTTGTGCGAACCAAAGCGAAACAATCTATTTCTTGAAAAAGTTTGGAAAACTCAAAACTTGTATTTTTATACATGGAAATGCATTTCCCTATATCTAGGAAAAAGAACCAAACAACCCCTTATAATTAAAGAAATATGTAGTTTGAAGTCTTCTAGAATAAGTCTTCTAAAATATGGTGGAATTTTCACATGTACACGTAAGCAAATTGTTGTCTTGTTCAAAACATCATCAAATAGATATGGTGAAATTTTTGCATAATTTGAAGTCTTTCTAGAATATGAATCAAACTAGTTTAAAATGTTAAAATTTTAAACTTAATAGTCATCCCTTTTGCACATAACGAACATAATGATTATAAACTTCAAATGATATAATTTTTACTATACATAGATCATCCCTTTTGCACATAACGAACATAATGATTATAAACTTCAAATGATATAATTTTTACTATACATAGATCATGATAAGTGCAAAACACGATGGACGGTGCCGATCATTATAGCGAGCAGCCTATTGAGCCATGTCACCATAGGATAATTATAAGTGTATAACAGACTATAAAAGAATAGTAGTTACCGTGCGAACTCTGGTACATATATTTGCTGGCGATAACAACATTTAATGATCCGAACTGTATTCTATCATAGAGCAATTCATACAACAGAGCAATTACCTGTGAGATTCATAGAAATGTTTCATTTTCATCATTCCCTTCAAAGGACAAAAATAAACATGCAACACTACACATGGCTCCAGCACTTGAGCGCAAAGATGACACGTACCTTAAAAGGACAGTATCTCAAGAATCTGCAAGTTTTCTTTTTCACAAGATACATACGCTTAGCTAATTTTAAGGGCAGGGCAGAGGTCAGGATAATCCCATTACAAAATACATAACTTTCCAGACAATCTAAAACTTAATCCTAAAACCAATATGACAATACTGTCACTTTGATCCAAAAGCAAATGACAATTTGGGGCGAGATTTGTTTTTACCCAGCAGCTTCATCTGGTTTGCTCTTTCTTCCTCCTCCTCCATCTTTTTCCTCACAAGGGCTTCTTCCTTCTGTCTCTGGATGCGTTCTAACTCTAGATATCTCTCCAATTCCTTTTGTTGTTGTTCCAGAGCTTCTCTTCTCTGAGCCTCCTCTACCTTCCTCCTGTTCTCCTCCATCATCTTATCTAACTCCTCTCTTTCTCTTCTCTCTTGTTCCTTCAAGTCCGAATACCAAAAGAACAAAGCAAATAATAATCAGTAAGATGGCAACGACTAATAAATTCATCTGGAGGTACTCCTTAAACTATTCTTTTAACAGAAGATGCACCATATGGTGATGAGTCGGAAAGATGATGTGTAAGCCCCCGGTAAAAATAGCTTTTTATTGACTAGAATGCTGGGTAATAAAGACGGTCCAGGTCATCTAAAAAGAAAAATGGTACTAGTAATACACATGTCCTAATGCGGCAAGTAATAAGATGTGACAAAGCTCAGAGTTGCACCGATTGAGAACGATGTGATGGAGCATTACTCCCCATTTTAATCTTAAAAGCTGATGGGCATGTTTCTCCATGTATCTCTTGTTTGACTTTGCTATGAGACGGTACTTCATGAGGACCGTAGTTAAATGAATTGAACAACGTGCCAAAGGTGCTAGATTTATCAGAGTTGACTACATGTTCTAGAACCAAGGTTAGGAGCTGCAGTACAGAAGGTACACTCAGATTTGTACTACGGAAGAAATAGACAACTAGGGGAGAGCAAAGTTGAAATGGATAGAAGGCTCTAAGAATTTTGAAGAGCCCGCAATATAAATCAGCGGTGAGAAGAGCTTATATTACCCAGTCTCAATGCTTATACTTAGAGCAAAACTGATGGTTATAGCTATCAACAACAAACTTCATGATACACTGCGAATTCACAGGCAAACGGAAAGCCTTTCCTAAATCAATTCAACCAAAAAAGCAGTTAATGACATGGAATTATCTAATCATCCACCTGATGTCAATCAAATTAGACAATTTTCATTGCTGATCATCACTTTAAAAGTGTACAGAAAAGAATGTAAATTGACATCAAATGAACTCAGAAAATAATCCTGTGAAAAACATATAGAGTAACATACCGCTTTCTGCCTTGCTTCAGCAAGTGCTGACTCCTTTTCCTTCTCAAGTTGAATGGCAACCTCATGAACTAACTTCTTTCGTCCCTCTTCTATCCGACGTTGTATTTCTAGCTTGATCTCCTCAGAGTTCAAACTCTCCTCTACTTTTTTCCTAATTGCTTCTTCAATTCTTCTAGCAGTTTCCTCTTCTAATAGTTTCAACTCTGCTTCTTTTTGACGCCTAATACAACCGGAAAAAAGTGAGAAATGCTCATTCAAGCAAGCTATCTAAGTGATCATCATTTAGTACATGCCTTTCAAGGCTGATAGACAACTACAAAAGAATTAGCAAGCAGCATGGAGGACTTCACTATATCATGACTAGCTAACCTTCCATTCTCATCCATCAAAATATTATAAATTAAATCCAAGCTTTAAGCTTATGCTTTCAAGGCATACCTCTCTAAGGATTCCAGATCCAAACAAATGACTTTTCAAACTGGTGAAGAGTGTAGATAAAACGAGTCATCGAATGTGATCATCAAAAATAACAAGTGGTACAATATCAGTATCTTCCTCCAAAGAGCCTGTGGAGAAGAATTGCAAAGTGACTACATCATGTAGCATGTTTAAACTATCATGTAACAATTTCAGTTCTCACATTAATGCACAGTTTGGACACTATAAAGCTAAGTGTATTTATATACGACATACAAGACAGAGGAGTGAGGACAATGTTTCCGCTTGTATGCCACAAAAACGTTGTCGGTTTCGAAAAGCAACTATTTGGCACAGTGAGCAAAAGAACCTAGATATCACATGAGATTCATTAAAGATCAAGGAACTTCAATAACCTCATTATTTTTTCAGAACTAACCTTTGTTCAAATGTAACATAATACTGTTTGACGAATTTATTTTATTTTTTGCTTTTTTTAGAAAAGGAAAGTTAAAACAAAAAACAGTTGACTGCTAAATCTCTCTCTAATAAGAACAAGTCCACTCTTGTAATCAATATCTCCTCACAAAGTTACGCACCGCATCCAATTGTTATTTTAATGTTGCCAATATTTAATCTTAAATAACATGTATTGTTGCTTGTTGGTTTTTATTAGTATATGTTATACTTTGACATACTTGTAATATGATTGCCCAGTGCTCCACATTCCCCCACCACCACGACCCAAGCTAAGCAATCAATTTTCTGCCTCTCACGATGGGTGCTAGTGCAGCTCCTCAGGGATAAGCTATACTTAAAACAAAGGTTCGGGCAGACATCTTTGATCTTTCGTTCTTCCTCATATGACTATGTATATCTCTTTGATTTGTATAACAAAACACCATAAACAAAATAATACTATCAGAAGGTCCTTTGTCAGTCCTCAGCTTGGCTCTGCACATATAAATGTACCATTTGAGCCGAGCTCAAGTTTCTAAGCTTGATTACTAAACAAAGTTTAGTCTATAAGCTAAGGTCACTTCAGTTCAGTTAACTTCCATTAGAGCTTACTATATTTATACTACACGTCTATGGTTTATAAGCATGAAAACAATCCTTAATTTCTTTTTTCTCATATAAACAAATATAATTTCCAACAACAGAGGTCAACTTCAAATATTTTCATACAGATAGACTCAGACTTTATGATCAGCTTTGTCTTAGTCCATGTATACAAATACAATTAAATGGAACACAGCTCAAGATCAACTAGTTATCAACACAGAGATCCTCAACTAGTTATCAAGCCACATATTCTTCAGTCTTGGGCCATAAAACCCTAAGATATCTAGACAGCCTTTCCCCAACCCCCCAAAAAAAGGAAAAAAAGAAAAAAAGAGTTCAAAACCACGTGAAATGTGTGTCCACCTGCACGACATTACAAATGTCTAAACTACAATCTATATGAACATATACATAACATGGAGAACAATATGCATCCTTTGTTTCATAGATCATTGTACAAAACTAGGTACTTCCTACTTAAATAATGCTCAGTATGAATGTTGTTTGAGTTAAATACACATATAGTGAGATAGCCACAGCTTTTTTATCTAGATTTTGACAATTCACGCATGGGCACCCTGTGCCTGTATCATAGTATAGAACCCATGATTGTATGTATCAGTTCGTTAAAAGAATCCAAGTAAATGATTTCTCATGAACAAAAAGTTAATGTGATCTTTGTGAATATACTACACAGATCGGAGGTGAAGCTTCTACCTAGACCTATGCCACACCTCTTTGTTGTATTTCTTTTAATTATCAAATTTATCCTCTTTTTGTTGATGTCAATATGATATACCCCTTTGCTGTAATTTTTTTTTATGTGCTAGAATTTTTATATACAATACAAAATGTTAACATTATATTGTGATCCAGTAATGCCTAGCTCTAAACGTCTCTGTCAATACGATCCATACGCCACCAAAATTCACCCAAAAATCCAGCCCAAATTAGTCGCATCAAAGTTATTGGGCTGTTGTATGTTGGCAATAAATTCATCAGAATCCTACTTATGACAGTAGAATTAAGATCCAGTCAAACCTTTACAGTCACAACCATAGTTAGTATTGTCTCTAAGACAAGTAATCACGAAATTGGAATCGACTGTAAGTCATGGATGATCATAAAGTGTCTACTACCTGAAAAGTCATAGTAAATTGGTTTGTGCTTGCATTTTGGACTCAGTATCAAAGAGCAAATATGTTGATGAAATTACAGGGAAATAAGACAGGTTTATCAAGTTGGCAATAAATGTACATATCATGGTATCTCCGCAAGCACAATTCAAGAGTGACGGTATGGCTAATAGACACTAAAAAAGTAGTTAAAACAATAACCATATTCAAAGCTCGATTAGAAAGCTGCTTAAATGAAGAGGGGAAAACCGTATACCTTTTCTTTTCTTCTTCTTCTTTCCGTAATTTCTCAGCAGCACTTTTGCGTTCTACTGATCCAAGACTTGGGCTCCGAGACTTTCTGACAGGTGACTTTGTGGTGCTCCTACTCCTTTGTCTTTTGTACCGCCTTGGAGATGGTGAACGACTTTTTCTTCGTCTAGGAGTTGGAGAATGGCTTTTACGCCATCTTGGTGAAGGAGAAGGACTTTTCCGCCTGGTAAATTTTTTTTATCAATTAGGCGATAAGTATAAACAATCTCCTGAGCACTATGTTAGATGAAGTCCCATTTTGACCGTAGACACAAGTCATGCTACAGCACTTCCAAATAATATGCAAAGTTACCTCAGACATTGTTAAAGACAAATCTTTGCAGGCTCCATATTTTATCAAAGAAATATTGCAAGTCCAGTTCAGCCAAAGGAATAGTGTGAAAGATCAACACCTGCTTATATGGGTTTTTCGGAGAATTAAACCAACCTCTTGCAAAATGAAGTAAGAGAACAACTTTTCGAACATTAACTTTTTGAACATTTTCATCTGTGTTTATTAATATTCACAGAACTCAACAATTCTTCACACCTACGTCAGCCTCCTCGTCATGTTCACACGACCAAAGAAAACAAATTAAGAGTTACCTAAATCAGATGCACAAGTTAAAAGCCCTCCAACCTTGTCGAAGTTGTTAACTAAGGCAATGGAGATCAATACCATGTAACTGTAAGCAGAAATTGACTGTAATCGAACTCAAATGCATAACTACCGTCTGCAAGAATCTCCAATGGTCAAATTGTTAATTTATAATATACAATAAAACTCAAAAGGATTATAATGATAAATGTCGCCAATAGAAAAATATGGTGTTACACTTAAATGAGTTCGGAATTCGAGGAAGGGCCATTTTACATGCAAAGAGAACTCATGAGTGATCTGGACATTGCTTATGCATAATACTTCTATCAAATATATGTTGACTGTTGCATATTCTTGAAAGCATTCATGCAAGTATACAAATTCTCTTGGGGGTAAAGCAGCCAATCCATAAAAATGAATGGAAAGAAAAAGAGCAACTGAATGTTTATGCTCATACTTCTAACAAACATATGATGGCTGTAGACTATTCGTGAAATCATTTACACAAGTATCCCATTTTTCTAGGAGGTAAAATAGACGGGCTGAAATATGAATGGAAAAATAAATAATCACAGAATTTACTCCGACCATATAGAAGAAACTTTTTATCAAGAAACATTGAATAGTTTACTCCAATAATATCAACCAATATTGTGAACCACATTGAAAGAAGCTACAACTCATCTTACTTGTCATGTTTTCTCCAGTATTAGTAGGCAAAAAAAAAACCTTTGACTAAAAGAGTGATGACTAACATAAATACCAATAATTCAGTTAGCTGAAATCATGATACCTCCGAGGGACTACACATCTCGGAAGAATATCATACCCAACAAGCAACAACAACTTTAAATAAGGTTAATAAACATAAAATGATTTACAAAAAATGTAATAAACATGGTATTTATTATAGTATATACAAATATCAATTTCCCAAACAAATTGGCAAGAAGGCGCCAGCAACTGATGAGTCGATATAAAGGGACATAGCCATTGAGATCAGTGTGAAGGTTAAAGAGATTGGAACAAACAAGTTATCACATAAGTTAATATACTTAGTACAAGCAGTTAAACTAGAATATCTAGATTCTCTATAAGCATGCAAAGAGATCAGCATATTTCTCAACTCAATACGAATTTTTCTAATGAAAAACTGCTCTCAACTCTCATCCAATGTTGAAATAATCAATTGATAACCAGCTGAAAGTACTGATCCAACAAACCATGTTAATCATGGATAATGCATGAAAGAAATCAATGTTCCATATCAATGTTTTTGTTCACAAATTAAACAATCTAAAGATGAAAACAATATCTGAAGGAAGCCAAAATATGAGTGAGTAGCCAAAATGACAAGAACCATACGTCAATTGAAGTAATGTTTCTAACCAGAAGTAGTTTTATATTACTAGGTTACCATGAAAAAATTAACTCCAAAGGGGTAGCATCAAGCCTTTGAGCAAGCAAATGACCATACAAAAGAAGTCATATTCGCACCCAACCATCTATGCTAAGGGGAAAAAGACTGGCTGAAAATAAAGCAATGATATAATTCCATGGACATGGGCTTCCCCAAGTCAAATCCCTATGGCTAAACAGACAAAACCCAACAACTTACCAAGAATTCCTGGCTTTCATATCCTAAATTGAGGAAAAGAAAATTTCTAGCTATGATATAAGCATTAAGAGCATGTGTCTTAGAAAAATGTGAGTGCTAGTCCACTGGACAGACAAACTGGATCTTTACTTGATGCTAGCCTCTGCTCATATAAGCAGGCCAAGCACTACAGTAGATTTACCAAGATAAGGGTTGGAAGAGTCCCTCTACTATTTTCTTACAATTAAACTGGTTGATTGAGATTTGAGATATCACTGTCAGGTTGAACTAAAGGAGATATACTCTATGTAATAGCTCATTTGATTAGCACAAAGATGCATAAATTAGCAACCAACCGAGTCTAAATGTATGGACAACAGGCAAACTAACAACACAAATCACCTGAAGAACTTGGCAAAACCATAAAAAATATTACTTTCCCTAATCTTCTCCATGTTACAGAATGCGGACGGCTTTAGTCTGAGATTTCATGGAAAAACAATAAACTTTTTGTATCTGAAACCGATCAAGGTTAGGGTTTTAAGATTGGTAATGGATCCACCTATATGAATACGGTGACCGGCTGCGATCGCGCCTGCTT